GGCCTCCTCCTTCTTCCTAGTCTGTCTCAGTCTGCAAGCTGGGCTGATACCTGTGCAACAGGTGCACCCCACTGGGTTTGAAACACTAGTGGCACAGCCTCAAGACTCTCAGCAACACGTCACCACTGTAGGACAAACCAACAGACATGTTTGTCTCCCTTAGCTGTTGGAAACCCCTCCCACCACCCTTACCTGGATCCCTGTGGCTAACTCCTCGATCTGTTCCAGTCCTCTTTGCTTTTTCTGTCCTCTCCCTGCCTTCCTGCCTCGCTCCTTGTGGGGTGTGGCCTGGGTTCCCTCTCTTCACCTGGGTCCCTGCAGCTGACTTCTCAATCTGTTCTGGTCCCCTTTGCCTTTTTTTTTGTCCTCTTCCTGCTTCCTGCCTTGCTGCCTGTTCTTAGGTCCCTGGAATCCGAGAACATTTGGACTTTCTTATTTTTAATTAGGGAGCTCTGGTGGTGTAGTGGTTAAAGTATTTGGCTGCTAACCAAAAGGTTGGTGGTTTGAACCTATCTGCCACTCTGCTGGTGGAGAAAGTGAGGCAGTCTGCTTCTATAAAGATTACAGCCTTGGAAAGCCCACGGGGCATTTCTACTCTGTCCTAAAGTGTTGCTATGAGTCAGAATCTACTGGATAGCAGTGTTGTTCCCTCCGCCCCCCAGTATTTTTAATTGTAGCACAGAATTGAATCTTTTAGATGTTTCTTGAAAAAAACTCCTCCCAAATTAACTGAGAGGTTGCTTATGGGCTGTACTTCTTTCTTAAGGTCTCCTTCACCCCCTGCTCCTGGGTAAAATATATGACCAAGGTCTCAGTTCTCCAAGACCAATGTATGGTCAAGGTCTCCAAGGTATCTGCTCCTCCTCTTATGTGGATAGACCCATAAATGCCTCCATGCTCTGTGGTTCCTCCTTTTAGTGTAATGTGTGTGTGTGTGTGTGTGTGTATGTATGTGTGGAGGTTTCAGACTCTTGCTTGGGGCCCATCCTTGGGACTTGTCTAGGTTCAAACCCTAGCCACAGCTGAGGCCCAGGGCATCTCAGAGAAGTCAGGTTGGTTTGTGGACTTTGAGAAGGGTAAGAAGACTGCACCTGGGCCCAGGTCACACCATACCCGCTCCAGAGCTATCCAGGGTCAGAAGGAGATAAAATTTAAGCATAGATCAGGTGGGCTTTTCTTGGGTCAAAAGTATCCATGGTAGGGCAGGACAATACCAGGATATCTCTCCTTCCTGCTCAGGAAAGTGAAATCCTTCATGTCTCTGGCTCATGCCCTTCAAGGCAGCATTGGAGGCCAGGAGGGCAGGGGACGAAAAGTGGTTGAGCCAAGATTTGAACCCAAGGCATGTGTTTCTTAATGGGGTAGGCACTGACATTTTTGGATGATTCCTCATTGGGCAAGACTGTCCCATGAACTTCAAACCAAACCAAACTCACTGCCGTTGAGTTGGACCCGACTCATAGCGACCCCTCCTTGGGTTTCCGAGGTGGTATCACTACAGAGATAGATTGCCTAATTTTCCTTTCCCATGAATTTAAGATATTTAATATCCCTAGACCTGCCCACTGAATGCCAGGAGTGTCTCTCAGTCACTGGGACAACCAAAAGCATCCCAGGCATTTCTGTAAGTAGTAGCCCAGGGATCAGGAGGGAGGAGACCTGGGCAAATCCATTCCTCTTTGGCCACAGACTCTTCTGCAGGATGGGGATAGGAATCCTTGTGCTTAGTTTATCTACCATGTGCAGAGTGCAGGGTGTGGCACTCAGTGCATGAAAACAGAACAAAACTAGTTGTCATCAAGTCGATTCTGACTCACGGCAACCCCATGTGTGCAGAGCAGAGCTGTGCTCCATAGGGTTTTCAAGGCTGTGAACTTTTGGAAGCAGAACATCAGGCCTTTCTTCTAATCACCTCTGGGTGGGTCTGAACCATCAACTTTTTGGTAAGTTGTTAGATGCCTTTGAGTTGATTTTGACTCATAGCAACCCCCATGTGACAGTGTAGAACTCTCCCATATAGTTTTCTAGGCTGTAATTTTTATGGAAGTAGATTGCCAGGTCTTTCTTCCATAGAGCTGCTGGGTGGGCTTGAGCAACCAACATTTTGTTAGCAGACAAGTGCTTAACCATTTGTGTCAGCCAGCGACTCCTTGGTACACAGTGTTGTTGTTATGTGCCGTGGAGTTGGACTCGACTCATAGTGACCCCTCCTTGGGTTTCCGAGGCAGTATCACTATGGAAGTAGATTGCCCAACCTTCCTTCCGAGGAGTGGCTGGTGGGTTTGAACTGCCAGCCTTCTAGTTAGCAGTCAAGTGCCTTAGGCACTATGCTACCAGAGTTCCCTGGTACACAGTAGGGCTTGGTAAATATGCTTCCATTTTTGAAGTGGGTAGTTTGAGGCCAAGTTGCCTGTTGTGGCAGGTAGACCCTCAGCCCTTGAGGCTTAGCTCCGAGGCAGGACACTCTCCAATGTCTCAGTGAGACCTTCAGGAAGTCATTCATTCTTCCATAGTCTCCTTACTGCAGGGGCCTGGTGGACCCCAAGCACTCTGAGGAGTCCACAGGTTCTAAACGTTGAAGTTTGCAGGCCTGATGATGCAAGGTGAGGCCACAAGGGGGCAATAACGGGCCAATAATGGTCCCATCCTGCCTGAAAGACAAAAGGGATTCCCTTGAGTCCCTTGAATATGTAGAGAAGGGGAGAGACCATATGGCTTCTATTCCTGCCAGGGCCTGCCTGGCAATCCAGCTTCATGAGGGCTGCCTACTGACTCCATGCCTTGCCAAGCAATTTTGGGGAGACATACTAGAGGGCATCAAAGGGCCTGGGTCCAGTACCAAGCCAGCCACCATGTCCTGGCTGTGCATCCCTGGCCAGGTGATTACTCACTCTGAGGCTTAGTTTCCTCGTATGTGAAATTTAAATAGTGACCCCTACCACACAGCCCTCCTCCTTCATAGGGTGGGTGAGGCGATCCAGTGAGGTAATTGGGTGGGAGGAAGAGTGATTTGCAAACAGTGAAGTGCAGTGGATGTGTGAGTGTTAGACTGGGACCCCAATGGAGGCTTTGACACCCAGTGAGCCCCACCAGTCATCAAAGTCCTACTGCTTCTCTTCTTTGTCATACCACTGGCTTCCCTGGTGACCAGATATCTGGTCTGCCACTTATCAGTAGTTCCTTAGGGAGACAGAGATGGGATTTGACATAGTTATCCCTGATTAGAGCCAGTGTACGCCTGGACCTCTTCTGTTAGCAAGAACGCTGCGTGGCAGGGGTCTAGGGGGACTGCTTACACTGTAGCCCTCCTTAGGCTTCAGCCCTTGGAGGGAGAAGGCCTAAGACACTGTCATTGCAGGCCTTTCCTTAGCTGCACCTCCCTGGATGTCCTTGGCTTTACCATTTGTGAAATGGGCACATTTTCTGCATTCTTCTCTCTGAGTTGTTGTAAGGACCTGCTGGGATGAAAGATTGGAAATGCTTTGCAAGAGAGAGAACTGTGAATCACAGGAGCGTCAGGGCCCCTGACCTGGCCTAGGTTCTTGGCATATTCTACTAAGTGGATCCTCACCCAACCAGAAACTCAGTGGTAAGTATGACCATCCCATTTACAAAAGAGGTGGCAGGTTGAATGTCCTAAGATGGCTGCAGTAAGATCTACTCTCCCATATTTTTCCTTAAAAGATGTCAACATTCTTCCCATTGAGAAGTGAGGTTGAACTCTGTCCCCTTGAGTCTAGGAAAACCTCTTACCCTGGCAAGAAGTGACACCATATGACTCCTGAGGATTGGCCATAAAAGGTGACACAGTTTCCAGTTGGCCCACTTGGGACAGTTACCCTTTGGATTGAGCCTCTGTGCTGTGAGGAAGTCTAAACCATGTGGAGAGATCATGGGAGGTGTTCTAGACATCTGAGGTTCTGGCTGACAGCCAACATCAACTGCCAAACATGAGAGCAAGGAAGACTTTGAGAAGTCCCTCCCTAGCCATCTGCCTTCAGCTGCTGGAGTGAGCTCAGTGAGACTCACCCACTGAACCCATTAACCAACAAGTGTTTGGGTGACTGGTAACTTGAACAGATGAGCACAAAGGCTCAGTGACGTGAAGAGATGGGCCAGAGGACTTAGCTGGGATATGGCAGAGCCAGGCCAGAAGTCTTGTTCTACATAACTCCAATGCTATCTTTTGTCCCAACCCTGAACTATGTCCTCTCTGGGGTGGCCCAGAGAGAGTCCCCTTTCTCCTCCCAAGCAATGGCCAGGCTGAGATGGTATTGGGTTGTGGGGCCCAGAGGCGGCTTGCAAGGATAGGCACACTCATACACATGTTTGTGGTTTATTACACGCAGCAATGTCCAGCTAAACAGATGGGAGGTGAGGTGTGGAGGCGGAGCTGGTGGCTAGGACCCTTGTCAGAGGTGGGAAAGCCTCTCCTCTGAGTGTAGGCGGCTCAGTGCAGGTGGAGGACCAGCCCAGAAGTTGGTTTCATCAGCACAACTCATCAGAACTGTTTTGGCAGCTGTCCAGAGTCCTACCAGGCTGCAGACTTGGGACCAATGAGACTGAATGCCCTGAGCCGGAGGCCCATGTCATCAGGCCTGCAAGGTGCCCTCACATTCATGCCCTGGACAGAGGTAGGAACAGAAACCCAGAACTCTCTGACTTACACAGATGGGAGTCACAAGACTCTCTGCAGCTGGACGCCATGTCCTAGTGATCAAGGGACTTGGTGAAGACTTGGCATAGGCTGGCTGCCTGAGGTCCACTGACTTGGACCACTGGTGAGAGACCAACCCACTTGGGGGTGCTTCCCATAGCTCCCGGTGTTTAGCTGCAAGTGTGGGTCAGAGTCTTGTTCAGCCTTAGTGCTTCCAGGGCGTGGGAGGCGGGGGCCTGGGCAGCTGAGTCTGGAGATGGGAGAGGCCAGAGCGGCTACCCTCAAGCCCTGGGCTTTGTGGGCAGGATGGGGTGCTGGGGCTCTGGAGCGTTGCGGGACAGCCTCTGCAGGGCAGTGGGTAACTGCGAGTCTCAGCTAATCAGGTGATTGAAGCCTAGCCAACATGTTCCCAGCCTCACCAGAGCCAGACAACATCACTGTCATCCCCTCCCCAGGAAAGCCACATGCGGCCGTTGCTCCTCCTGCATTGTCTGTCTCATCCATGTTCCTGCCAGTGACAGAGGCTCATCCATCTGGGGCTGAGCTGGGCACACTCTCTAATGTGAAAAGGCCACAGGTGGCCACATCCCATGAAGAGGATCAATATATTACTGTTTTGTTTTTACAAAAATTAAAAATGTCCACATGGATCTGTACAGGTTGTGAGCTGGGTGCTGGGGTCACTGGAAGAGGAGGGAAAGACAAGGGTGAGGAGTGGAGTGAGGCTAAGAGGCTACCCCTTGCCTGGGCCACCCTTTCTGGTACCTCCTGAATAGGTTCTGCCTGGACTCCCTCTTCCAGGCTCCTGATCTCTGTTCCCTTTCAGTGGTACAGTTTGGACAGTATCCCAACAAGCACCAGTGGCCAGGCCCAGACTGAGCCCACAAAGTTTAACAGAGCTGGTCAGGCACAGTCCCCCAGGACCATAGCCTCAAGCCATGGACTAGCATAGCCAAAGCTAGATTGTGCTGGGGACACCTGGCTGTTCCAGCTACTGGGCAGGGAGCTGCAGACACCCAGAAGTCCGTGTGATGGCACCAGCCCCTGGGACCCACATGACTACCCACACTTCCCTCTCCTCTGAGCCTGATTCATTGAAACTCTACCCTGCAAGATACCTTATGCCAGCAGCCGGGCACCGGCAGCCCATCGGGGCCCTGAAAAGGAAGAAAGCGTCAGTCACTGGACAAGGGCTGGTCCTGTTTTCTATACCCCAGCCCACACACTGTAAAGTGGAGAGGGGATGTGGTCTGAGGATCTGCCACGTGAGCCTGCTATACCCCACTGAGGCAGGGCCCAAGTGAAGAGCTTGCCTCCTCCTGTCCACCTGGGTAGCCAGTTCAGTGACATGATGGCCCCTCCCTGCACTTGCCCAGAGAATGTCCCAAAGTGCTTTGTTGGAGTCTTTACTCCTTTGGGACACCTGTTTGGTGGGCAGAGATAGACACTGTGCAGTAATGGGCTTCACACCAGATAGTTGCTGGCCAGGAGGCAGCTTGAGGCTAGCCCTGCTGAGGGGCTGCATGGCTTCCTGCCTGGTGGCCGACCCAGTGGGTCTGGCCCTCACTGCAGGGTCTAGGAGCTGTCAGTCTTGGGGAGCCATGTCTCCACAAGTGTCTCAGACAGTCCTGCACCCTGTGTTTGGGGTCTGAACAGAGACTGGGGGAGGCGGGGTGTCAAAGTGGTCAGGGTGGGAACTGGACATGGGACACAGTAGCTGTCTGGGGGCACCAGCAATGCCCCCTCAGCCATCAGACCCAGCAGGAGGACGGGTGGCCTTGGGCAGCATTGTGGTGGGGGGTTAGAGAAGGACAAGGTCTGATCCTTCAGCCTAGAGTCCTTGGGGGACACAAGGGTAGAAAACACTTCACTCTGTTCCAAGGCACACAGCATAGGCCTCAAACCCACTGGTGTACCCCCTCAGGGTAATATGCCTGGGATGCATGTCAGGGTGGGGCAGGAGGGACAGATGGAAGGAGAAGTGAGGGAGAAGTGGGCACAGGCAGCCCCGCCGAGCATAGCCCAGCCCAGCCCAGCACAGCACACAGCAGGCAGATACTGTACCGCAGGACAGGGCCTACCGCCCCACGGCAGACCCTGCGAGCCCGGTGCCCCTCGTTTGCCTCTGCATTTGGGATTCTCCTGTTTCAAAGACAAGGGCCTACTGATGTGGAGGAAAGTCCTGGCCTAGGGCTTAGAGCTGCATGGTTGAGCCACCCCTTCTCCTGCTGTCTCAGGCACTAGTTTCTTATGTTTACAATTCTGCTCTTCAGGTCTTTTTCCCACTTAATCCTCAGAACCACCTGGGAGATGTGGATTACCACTTCCATTTTATGGATGAGGAGACTGAGGAATGACTTCTTGTCAGGCCCCTGGCCCTGGCCCTCTTGGGGTTCTCCCTGCTGGTGGCCCCTCGCCATAGCCCTCACTCAGTGGTCTGTTTTGTACGTTTGGTAAACATTCTTTGGTAAACAAGTGGACTTGTTTTTTTCATCTTTGTTGTGCCCCTCTAGAAGAGTGGGCCGGAAGCCCTGCCTGCCTGCCTGGAAAAGGGACTGATTGTGGTCACTGAGTCTGCTGGGTCACCAAGGCCTGTTGTGAAAGAACAAGAAAGGAGAAAGGTTCTGTGGTGGAGGGAAATGGCAAGAGAAGGCAGGGGCGAGAGTGGGACTACCCTAGACTAGAAAAGGATTCCTCTGGGAAGGAAGGGAAGCAAAGAAGGGGAGGGAGAGACACCTTGAGAAGGAAGGACAAGGAAACTGAGTTTCAGCCCAATCTTGCCTCAAGCCCAGAGTCAGGCCGAGGCTATGGCCCCAGGTGAGGCAGGGCTGAGTGGAGGCATTGGGAGCGGGCAGTGGTAGTAGTTTTCTCTGATCCCTCCCCATCACTGCTGGCTCCCCTTCCCAAGGCCTAACCCCTCCCAGGAACCCTGATGTGTCCTAATACCATGGTGAGCTCCCTCATCTCAGAGTCTAGCCCCTCATCACTTCCCACCCCCCAAGATCGCTCAGGTCGGGTGCCTTGCCCTGAGTGAAGTAGAGGCAGTAACCCTGGCCAGCAGACCATGGGGGGAGGGGACCTGAGAAGGGGGTGGCAAGACCTGAGTTTAGAGAGCAAATACAATTTTGGTTGGCCTTGGCTGTAGGTGGCACTGCCCTTGGTTAGGCCCCTTCCCACTCCAACACTTACCACAGGACATGGCTGATCCAGGCCAGGTGGTCCCGGCTCCCCCTTCTGGCCCTTTACTCCTTTCCGGCCAGGGACCCCTCGCTCCCCCTGCACAAGACAGGAGATGGAGGATGGTCAAGGCTATTAGGCTTCAGGCCCCTTCAGCACCTCAGAGAGATGGCCCCAGTGCCCATAGTCACCCATGCCCTGCTGCCCTTGGGCTGGGCCTCTACTGGCCCCCTCCTTCCCACTTGCTTCCACTTTTCCTGGCCTGCTTCAGCCTACTTCCTCCCCCCTTCCCTACTTCAGCTCCCCTACCTCCATTCCTCTGCCCTTACCTCCTTCCCCATCCCATTTCTACCCTGGGCCACTTCCTCTCCCCTACCCCACCTCTTCTTCCTTGCCCCACCTTCTCTCCACGCTCACTTCGGTCACCTTTCTCTCCTCTGGGTCCAGGGAAACCCTGACAAAAGAATTAAAAGTTAAATTGGAAAACAAGGTTTGCTTTCTGTTAACCTGTCCATCTTGCTCCTCTCCCATCCACTGCCCCTTCCTGCTTATCTAGTCATGGTACCATGTGACTAGCCTCAACTCTTAGGTGACCTGTTGGCTGGGTAGAGACCATGGTAGAGGCATGTAGGACACCATACTGCTCCCTCCAAAGTAGAACACTTCAGTCTCTGGTTGGAGGCCCACGGGTGGAGCTGCCAGCAAAGGACTTTCTCTCAACTCATAGCCAGACCAGCCAACCTGGCTCAGACTTGGTGGAGGACAAAGACCCAGGAAACCCATGGAGTTTATGGCACCAGCCTGAGCAGATGTGAAATGGTGGCCTCTGTTCTTTGCCCTTGGCTCAGTCTTTTGTATATCCACCCACCCATCCGTTCATCAGTCCATACATTTAACCAACATTACTAAGCAGCCACTAGGAGCTGAGTTGTGGGTTGGCCACTGAGGCAGATAAATGGATCAGGTGTGCTTTTCTGGCTGGTCTATCCAGGTGTAGGGGTTAGGGTAAGCTTCTGAGTGGAGTCCCCCTTTCAGCTGGGCCAAGTGAAATGAGTGGGCATAGCTCTGAGAGGGCACCCTGAGCTATGGCCACATCCATAGGGCATGGAGTCTCTCTAGCTCCTTCCCCACAACTTCACAGGATTCAAAGCCTGAACTGGATCAGCATGGTCTTTGTCCCCTGCCCCTTCTCATCAATGGAACATAGTCCTTCCAGTCATAAACCCAGGGTAGGTTCCTTGTCTGCAGTTGCTCTCCAAGGTAACATTCTTTCCTTAAAGTCTAGGGTGGACACCACAGTACTGCATCTAGTCACAGTTTCTGTCAAAATAGCAACTTGAGTTTCCTGAGTTCCACCTTCCCTTCTCATAAGCCACTGGCTCTACCCACAACTCCAGGGTTGAGCAAATGATCAGGCCCAACCAATCAGAGTGCTGTATTCCTACATCCCCATGACTGGCTCTGGAGTTGACTTAACCTGGGCCAGTGAGAGGAGAGATTTTTTTCTAGAATAGTAGAAAGTGAGGCAAATAATCTTTCTCCTTGAGGGAATGAATTGTTGGGCCTAGAGGCTCAGGACTTTAGTCTTAGGGACATCTAGGTCAACTGACAACATATTCTACATCGTATTTTGGTGAGTATTGACTGGGGTCTTAAAAGCTTGTGAGTGGCCATCTAAGGTGCAACTATTGGTCTCTTTCCGTCCAGAGCAAAGAAGAGTGAAGAGAATCAAAGACATATGGAAACAACGGTCCAAGGGACTGATGGATCATGGGAACCTCAGTCTATGAAACTCTGAGACCAGAAGAACTAGATGGTGCATATTCAAAATAATAAAAAAGACTAGGCTTACTGATGTGATAGAGATTGGTGGAACCCTTGAGACTATGGCTTTTAGACACCTTTTAGGCCTGGAACAAAACTCACCCCCATGGCTCAACTTTCAGCCACACAATCCAAACCAAAAAAACCAAACTCACTGCCGTCGAGTCGAAACCAATGCATAGTGACCCCTCCTTGGGTTTCTGAGGTGGTATCTCTATGGAAGTAGATTTCCCAATCTTCCTTCTGAGGAGTGGCTGGTGGGTTTGAACCACCAGCCTTCTGGTTAGCAATCAAATGCCTTAACCACTATGCCACCAGAGCTCCCAGCCACATAATAGACAGGCCTATAAGGTGAACAATAACACTAGGGATGTATGAACTCCCTAGAAAAACCAACTGTACAAGATCAAAAGGGCAGCAATTGCCCAGGGATGAAGCTCAGAAGGCAGGAGGGATAGGAAAGAAGGAGGAATTGCATTGTGGGGATTTCAATCAATGTCACAAATCAAAATGGGTATGAATTGTTGAATGGAAAATGAATTTGCTCTGCAAATTTTCACCCAAATCACACTAAAAAATTAAAAAACAAAAACCCATAATGGAAGTAACATCCACAAAACAGAGGAAGCAGAAACAAGAGAGGTGAGTTGCTGGGTTCTGGTGACACAGTTGGGCTATATGCTTCACCGCCAGACTTTTCACTTAAGGGTCAGTTTAAGCCAGTTTAAATTTTATTTTCCATCACGTAACCAAAGGAGGTCTGGTGGCACAGTGCTTAAGGCATTTAACTGCTACCCAGAAAGCTGGTGGTTCAAACTCACCAGCCACTCTGAGGAAGGAAGACTGGGAAATCTACTTCCATAAAGATTTACTGCCTCGGAAACCCAAAGGGGGTCACTATCAGTCAGATTCCAGTCGATGGCAGTGAGTTTTTTTTTTTTTTTTTTTAATCACGTAACCAAAGAAGACTTGATCCAATCAACATTGGGCTATTACTTCCCCTCCTGTCCTCCCCCATATTGCCCTAGCTGCTACCTCATCATCTCTCACCAGGTTACCGCAACAGCTTTCCTCCACTTCCCCCTACCTTCCTGCCTCAACTCATCGTCCATCAGCTATTGACACACCCACCTATCCATTTATCTATCATCTATTCCATCCATTTATCAATTCATCCATCCATCATCCTTCTCTCCCCTTCATCCATTCATTTATCCGTCTATCCATGCATCTATATAGCATCTACTCTTGGCCTTGCGTAGCAATTGGCATTTGAGACACAGGGAATCAGTCAGTTGCAGTGTCAGCTGTGGGGAAGGGGTCACACATGTACCAGCCAGATCTGGTTACTGTATGAGCCCATGGGGGTAGAAATCACATACAGGAAGGACCCGATCATGGTGAACGATGAGACACTTACATCCAGTCCTGGTTCCCCAGGTCTGCCCTGAGGAGAGACAAAGAGAGGTTATAGGAGATCTGTGTAGGTTGGGGTGCTGGGAGCATAGCTGTTGGTAAGTTCAGCTCTGTGAGTGGTCACAGACATGGGGGCAAATGGGGGCAAGAGAGAACTACACGCCAGGCAGATATTGACAAAGAGCAGGATGGTCGTGATGTCCACAGAGCCTAAACTCCAGCTCAGCAAAGTGCAGGGGCTGAGTATGATACTGTGAGCATGTAGCTACAATGGCTGGGGGTGGGGTGGGGTAGGTCATGAGGGTGGCTACCTTCTCTCCTTTGGTTCCTGGAAGTCCAATGAGGCCAGGTGGGCCAATTGGACCCTGGATGGAAAAGGAAAGGGTGGGTCAAGAGGCATGAAATTAACAGGAATTAGCCCTTTACAATAAACAGGGCTCATTACACTCACAGGCAGGCCTCCAGGGCCTCTCTCGCCCAATGCGCCCTTCTCTCCCTTTGCTCCATCCAAGCCCTGCAAGTGAAGGGGGAAGTCAGTTAGGGGAAAGAGGGCAGCAGACAGCAGGACAGGAGAGCTGGGGGGCTGGTGGAGCTGGCGAGGTTTACTCCTCATCCCAACTACTCAGAGAGGGGTTTCATAACATGGCTTCCTCAGTAATCTTGTGTGGTGGCTAAGATCCCATTCACCCCACAGGTAAAGAAAGGGAGGCCAAAGCACAAGCACACAGCTGCCTTCTCTAAACATGATCTGGGGTGGCCTTGGGACAAGACAGAAGCAGAAACAGCACATCTGGCTAGACAGAATGCATGGCCCTGCTCAGATCTGTGACTCTGAGTCCCTGTCTCTGAGCTGGGGAAGCAGAGATGGGTTTGCCCCATAGGTAGACAGGACATCAGTCAGCATGAACAGTGGTAGGGCCAGCTGGCCTCTCCTCTGTTTCTGCCTCTTCTGAACAGGGCATATGGGCGGACTGCACTTGTGGCTTTAAGAACAAGGGACATGGCATCATGCTGTGCACAGCAGATCCAAGACTTCATGCTTGGTCCATGCAGTTGAGAGACAGATGTGGGGTTAGGGGTGATGACAAGGAAGGGAGAGTTACAGAGAAAGATGAAGGAGTGCACCCAGGAGGCAAGACATTGAGAGAGGGAGGGTGAAGGGCAGGCTGGGCCTTGAAGCAGAGCAAGAGGGAGAGTGTGAGAGAGCAGGGCCTGCAGGGTAGGGCTGTGTCCAGAAAGTGATGCTTCAGGAGATTCGGCAAGTTTAGTCCCTGGGGAGATGTAGGCTGGGCTGGCCCAGCCTACTTTGCGTTACCAAGGCTTTCTGACAAGACTCTAGCTGTTTGTCTGTAGTGGGTGTGGGGCCTTTTGCCCAATCCCCAGTACTCACCTTAGAACCTTGGATTCCCTGAATGCCCTGAAGGAGGTGGAGAGACCGGGTCAGAAGGTCATTCTGGCTGGGTCCAGAGCCTGGCCTCAGGTCCCGCCCATGTGGCAAGTGCCCACATGCCCTTCCTGCCCATGGACCTTGTCTCCAGGGCCTCCCAACTCAGACCCGGGCTCTGCCCTCTTTGCCCAATGTGTGTTCCCCGTCCCCAGGAGTCCAGTCTACTCCTTGGTCACAGCTCTGGGCCCTGTGTCCACCATTCTCTTTGTATCCCGGTTGCTTCAAGACAAACAGTTCTTACCATGGGACCTGGGGGCCCAGGCGGCCCAGGGGGCCCTGGCTCCACTATGATCTGGGCCTAGGAAGGGTCAGAAATAGGTTAGTCACCCACTGGCCTGTCACCGATCACACCCTTGAGTGCATCAGATGTGGGAGGAGCACCCAGGATGAGAAGCAGTGGACATGGGCCTCTGCCTGCCCTGGGAGAGGCCTGTCCTATTGGGGGTCTGGGATCTGCCTGTAGCCTGTAAGCTCTGGGGTGAAGGACACAGCCTGAGGCTCCCTCACTTCCTTTCCCTGCTGCCTTGGGTATGGTAAGGCCAGGTGACTCCTCAGGGTTCCAAGATCCAGGGGCCCCAGAGGTCTGGGTAGGGCAGTGGGAGACACCCTGACCCCAGTGCCCTTCCCCCTTACCAGGCTCTCCTGTAGGGACGCTGGCTCTCCCTTCTCCCCCTTGGGGCCGTCGACACCCTACAGGACAAAGTGGCCTGTGACCTTTTATGTCCATCACCAAAATCACTGTCCACAGTGCTCACTGACCTTCCCTCCCTCCTCCCCATTAGACTTCTGGGCAGCAGGATTACTTTTGTCTTTTGCAGACTGAAAACATTTTTCCTAAAATCTAGGTGAACACCCTGGGTGCTGAGCACAGTGGCTATTTAGAGAGCACATTAAACCAAAAAACCAAACCAAATCACTGCTATTGAATTGATTTTGATCCACAGTGACCCTCATTGGGTTTCCGAGGCAGTGAATCTTCACTGGAGTGGCTGGTGGGTTTGAACTGCCAGTCTTTTGGTTGTTGTTGTTATGTGCCATCAAGTTGGACCTGACTCATAGAGACCCCTTCTTGGGTTTCTGAGACAGTATCACTACGGAAGTAGATTGCCCCATCTTCCTTCTGAGGAGTGGCTGGTGGGTTTGAACCTCCAGCCTTCTGGTTAGCAGTCAAGTGCCTTAGCCACTATGCTACCAGAGCTCCCGTCTTTTGGTTAGCAGTCAAATATCTGCACCACCAGAGCTCCTTTAGGGAGGGAGCACATTAGCAACTTATTAACTTGTCTGCCTGTGGTGCAGGGACAGCCAGGGGCTCTGGAAACAGATCTAGGTTCAATCCTTGGCCCCACCTCTCTGTCCGAGTGGCCCTGGGAGGGGGAGTCTTGACTCCATGCCACACTGAGTGGATATAAGTGATGGGCGGCCAGTGGCTATTTAAAACCTGACAGCTGCTCCCACTCAGTCACAACAATGGTGTTGTGCCTGGTCTTGTACCATATACCCAACTGATCGTTGATATTCATGAGTCCATTGTTGCAGCCACTGTGTATTTTGAGTGCCTTCTAACCCAAGGAGCTTCTCTTCTAGCACCATATCAGACAATATTCTGTCGGCTGATTTTCAGAAGGAGATTGTCAGGTCTTTCTTCCTAGCCTGACTTACTCTGGAAGCTCTGCTGAAACCTGTCCCCCATGGGTGACCCTGCTGGTATTTGAAATACTGGTGGCATAGCTTCCAGCATCACAAAACCAAAAAAAGCCAAACTCACTGCCATCGAGTCAGGTCCAGCTCATAGCAACCCTTCCTTGGGTTTCTGAGGTGGTATCACTAGGGAAGTAGATTGCCCACCTTCCTTCTGAGGAGTGGCTGGTGGGTTTGAACTGCCAGCTTTCTGGTTAGCAGTCAAATACTTTAGGTACTACACCAACAGAGCTCCCAGCATCACAGTAGCATGAAAGTCACTGCAGTACAACAAATTGTCTGATGCGTGGTGGGCCACAACAATAGCAACAATAAAAATCACAACAATGATAGTGGATAGTCATTGTGTACCAGGTGCCATTTTTAACCTAGTCCAATTTCCACTCATGGAAGTAGGAAATTGTCACTCCCATTTTAGAGGTGAGGAAACTGAGGGCCAAGGAGGTTATGTCACTTGTCCAGGGTTCCTTGTCCAGGATGGAGCTGGATGCAAGCTCAGGCAGTTTAGGTCTGAGCACACAGGCTGACAATCTGGCCAGGCTGGCCCTCTTATTTCACCTCTATGGGATCCCCATGGGGGTAGCTGGTAGGCTTTTTGACAGTTGAGGAAAAGGAGGCTCAGAATGGGGATAACCTGCCCTGGGCCACCTGTGAGCTAGAGCAGTGCTAGCCAGGGGCCCAGAGCTTCCAGTCAAAGGCCCAGTGTCTTTGGGTTGTGCCACGTGCTGGAGCTGGCGAGGTCTCTGGAACTACCCAACCTGCACGCTGGCTCGCCCCACAGCCTCCAGCTGCCTCCCTGTGGCAGACACACATGTATCTGTCTTGGGACTTCCCCCCCATCTACATGTGAAGTTTTAGTACAGGGGACCCAGACCAGTACATACCGGGAGGCCGGATAGGCCCATCTCGCCTGCTTCCCCTTTGGGTCCAGTCAGCCCAGGCTCTCCTGGATCTCCTTTTGGTCCTTTGGGACCCTGAGAACCACAAGAGCAAGGGGTCAGTGGGGCTTAGTAGGCATTCTCCCTTTGCACCCTGGAGGGCCCCCAGAGCTGAGTCTCTGTCAGGTCAGCCAGACCCCCATTGCCTCCTTGGGAGTCTAGCTGGCTGGAACCTTGGCCAAATGTACCAGGGGGCTGGATGGAAATGGATATGTGTGCCCCATCCCTGCCTCACTGCATGGGGCATAGGGGACTGGGGCAGCCAGCATGGGGGCACTCCTGGGGCTCAAGTCTGATTTCCCATCTCAGGAGACAGCATTGGGGGCCTCCAAGCCCCACATGTACCCTCTCTCCCACCAGCCATTGAACCCTTTCACTCAGCCAATTATTTAATAGCCACCATGTGCTATGCATTAGGGACCAATTGCTGTCAAGTGACACCTGGGGACACTCTCAGTTCCATGTAGGATTCTACCCACACATATCATTATAATCACAACAACAGCAAGAGCTAACATTTGTAGAATATTTGCTGATGTGTACCAGGTACCACGACAAGTGTTCTACACACATGGGATTACTTAGTCCTCATAAGCACCTCCCACCCTGGAGGAGGAGCCTGAAGCGGCAAGACAGTGAGTTTATGTCCAAGTACATGTCCAAGGCTAGGAGGCCGGACCAGGGTGTACCCACAGGTGGTCTGGCTGCAGACTCCATGTTTTTACCCCAAGGCTCTGTGCTCTCTCCCACTGGGGCATACACACACACACACACACACACACACTGTTCGCCGTAGGCACTAGCACCACCCCAGGAAGCAGAGGCCCAGACACCTTCTCTCCATCGATTCCAGGGGCTCCAGGCAGTCCAAGTTCTCCCTAGAAGGAAACAGACAGGAAGAGGAGCACGGTCTGCTTGGCCCTGAAAGGGATTTGTGGCCTGGGGTATGGGCCAGTGTTTCCTCCTTACTCCCTCAACGGCACACCATCCCTGGGCTGGGTCAGTGGGCAGAAGTGGCATCCCTGGAATTGGACCTCCAGGGAGGTGCCCACTGGTGCAGAGTACTATGCTGGCACTAGCCACTCGCCACCCTCCACTTCACCAGCTGCCCTTAGGGCAGGTGGAGTCCACAGGAGTATTCTGTGGGCTGGCACAGCACAGATTAGGGACCTGAGGCTTGAGGGTTAAATGACTTGCTCCAGGCCACACAGCATGGGAATGAGGGGCAAGGGCCAGATCTCACCTGACTTCCAAGTCTAGGCTCTTTCTCCTGAGAAAAGTGGCCAGAGAACGGATGAATGGGTTGGCCAATAGGCATGACAATGTCACTCTATAGGACTGCTGTGTTGTCACAAGGGGCTGTTTATGGGGTTAAACATGCGAATATGGCTTTCCAGGGAATAGCCAGGGCCCAGGAAGAGAGCACTCAGCTTGGTTAGGAAGGAGCAGGCATTCTGAGGCCCCAGAAGTCAAGCCATTTACACCAGGAGAGAGAAGTAGAGGGAACATAGAAGAGAGGGGAGAGGAAACAAGGTGCATGGAGACATAGCTGCATAGGCACTGACCTTAGCTCCAGGGATCCCTGGTGACCCTGGGGGCCCCTGTGGCCCAGGAGGACCCTGTGTGTGGAAGTCAAGCTGGTTGGTGCTGAGGCAGGGCCTACCATCACTGCTGGTCACCCCTCCACCCTGGGGCCAAGTCCCTGCTCAGCTGGGCTGCAGCAGGATCCCAAGGCCCTGGCAGCCACATCTCCCTCAGGTCAGGTCACACTGCATGTCTGCTTGGTCTGGTCTTGTCTTGTGCGAGGGCAGAGAGGCAGCCATAGGCTGAGAAACTACAACATGTGCTGCCTGTATAGGGCCCGGTCTTTCTGCACTCAGAGCCAGTCTGTCCCAGATATAGATTTCTTCAGAGCACTCCCCTGCTCAAGAGCCTATGATGGCTCCCCATTGCTCTCAAAGCAAGCTAAAATCCTCATCTGGCTAGATAAAAATCTTATCCCCATCAGGTACTCTCTCTGCCTCTCTCGGAGCCTCTGACCACTCCTGTGCCACCCCAGCTGGTCCCAGCGTTCCTGTCTCACTGGTAGGAGAGGAGGGCTTCCCTGTCCCAAGTCTGACTCCACTCTCAAGCCCGCCTCTGACCAGGCTTCCTGCAGTTCATCATCACCCCTACTCAGTACTCCTCCCTCCTCTCCCCCAGAATGGCCCTGCATCCCCCTGATACTCAGCCCCTAACTCATGCCCTTCTTAAGACTGCACCCCTGCCAGGCCCCAGCCTGCAAGCTCTAGAACTCTCTCTTCTCATCAACTTGCCTCCCTTCATGTTGGCATTTCCACAGAGATGTACCTGGCTTCACTGTTCATCTACCCCTCCAGGCCCAGGCCCAGGCCCAGCTCCCACCTCCCTGGTGGCCTCCTTACTCAGCTCTCCCCCTTGCCCACTGCTACTCACCTCCCACACCATTCCCTAGATAGTCTTCCACCAATACCATTTTCTTTTTTAAAGTATTACTCCCTTGCTTAAGAACCAACTATGACTCCTCACTGCCCATCATTCCAGTCTGGCATCCATCATCTGTGCCTCTGCCTCCTTTGTATGCACAGAGTTCCTCTTGCATGGCTCCCAGCTGCCTGGACACACCATGCACTGTGTGTGCACTTGGGACCATACTATACCACATAGGACTTGGCAGGTTATAGTTGCTGTCGACTTGTACTCCTCTGTGGCCTTGGGGAGAAAGCTGGGATTGAAGCTCAAGGGAAGCCCAAGCAAGTGCCCCATCTGTTCTCTGAGAGGTGCCCCTGCCTCAACACAGTTCCCTTCCTTGGAATCCATGAGCAGCTGGCACCAATATCTTCACTGGGGATGGGGCCTGAGTTCGCAAGTTGCTGGGCAGGGTCAAAGGCCACACAATTCCGGGGCTCCTGGAGCACTCTCATGCATGCCTCAACAGTCACTAGAAGACACAGGAAGTCCCTGGGGATGCCCTACTGGGCCTGGAGACTAGGGATGGCCCTAGGGTTACATTTCTCTCTGCCATGGCCTGGGTGGCTCAGCCCTCATAGCCTTTGTGGGTCTCACACCACACTAACTTCCTGCTGCCCAGTGCTGCCATAACAGGCACCTTGAGAACTTGAGTGTTTATGCTACGCTGCCCCCTGTGCCTGTGTAAAGAAGTGAAGGATTAATACACAGAATAAATCTTCAGTCCCTAAGGAAATAACCATGCAGGAGCTCTGGTGGCATAGTGAGGAACTAATTCACAAATCATATCCCAGGGACTCTACCTTAAGGGCATCCAAGATTCTGCCATCATAGTCAATCACCACCGTGTCTCCCTGCTCACCCTTGAGGCCTGGTGGACCCTGAGGCAGGAAGAAAGGCAAGAGTTTCAGGGAAGAGCTATGTTGGTGTGGTAGCAGGCAGCCTGTTTCTGTCTCCATGCCCATAGAGAGGCTGACAGGGAAGGCCCCACACTCTTGAGCACTTGTGTGTGGCCACCGATGTGTGCCTGACTCAGGGGCCTGGAGGACACCTCTCACATTCCTTCTTGGCACTTGTTCCCAGACTCACTGATAAAATGCCCCCTGGGGTCAGGCAGGTGGTGGGCCTGGTGCCAATTGGGGAAGACATTGCACCCCACCTGCTCTGGGGGACTGGTTGTGATTTGCTTTCATGTGGGAATTCAAACTCACTGAGACCTGACCCTCGAGTTTCAAATGAAACTAGAAACCTCATTTTTATGCAAAGTTCTTCAGATTTTTAAATGGTGACAAAACCCCCCATAAAAACCTTCCAAAACATCGTGTAGGCCCAAAAAGCCATGTGCAGGCTGGATCTTGCCCTGTTGTTGTTGTTGTTGTTATGTGCCGTCGAGTTGGCCCCGACTCATAGCGACCCCTCCTTGGGTTTCCGAGGCAGTATCACTACGGAAGTAGGATTGCCCAACCTTCCTTCCGAGGAGTGGCTGGTGGGTTTGAACCGCCAGCCTTCTGGTTAGCAGTCAAGTGCTTTAGCCACTATGCTACCAGAGCTCCCACAACCTCTGGTAGAGGCTGCACAAATGGCATACAAACATCCCCATCATTTTTTTTTTGGTTTGGTTTTAGAGAAGAGGAATTTATTGTCTCATAGTTTTGGAGGCTAGGAGTCCAAAGCAGGATATTGGCTCTATGACAGAGTCCTTTTCTTGTCAGTAGCCCTATAGTTCCTTGGCACCCATTCTTCTTGGCTACCAGTGGGCATCCACCCAGACACTGTAGGCCCGGGTGTGGGCTCACTGGTGGCTGGCCTAGCCCTTCCCTTCTAAACCTCACTTCAAAGTGAGAGGTTGTGAGTGGTATGGTTCCAGCCCCTTGAGCAGGGTGGACAGACCTAGGCTTAAGTGCCACCTGCCAGCTACCCACCTGCTCACTCCTGGCCTGCATGGAATTGGGAAGTTTATAGCAACTCCCAGACTCAGTGTCTAGTCTAACTCTTGGCTGCCTGTATAACCAGACTGTATCCTTAGAGCCATTTTTTGGAGGCAGAAACTAAGGGTCTGGGAACACGAGGGTAGATGACTATTCAAGGTAACAGCTGGGAATAGGATTCAAGATGCCAACCGAAAGGCACATTAACCAAGCCAAAACCCACACCTGCAGCCATCGATTCCAATTCATAGTGTCCCCTTGCGACAGAGCAGAACAACTCTATAGGGTTTCTTGGCTGTTAGTGTTATGGAAGAAGATCACCAGGTCTTTCTTCTGCAGCACTGCTAGCTGAGTGGGCTCAATTTACCAATCTCCAGGCTATTAGCTGGTAGCAAAGTGTGCTACCCAGGGATCTTAAAGGTGTATTAACAGGGGCTGGTTAGAAATGATCTGAGACCAGGAGTTCCGGCAAGATGGCGGACTAGGCAGAAGGATTGCACAGACCCTCTTCAACAAAGAAAAGGGAAACCAATTAACACAGACACAG